CTACGGCAGGTACCTCAAGTCCTATCTTCGCCTTATCATCTTAGAAAATAATGATAGAATTTTCAGCAAAGACAATAGCAAATTGTCTTGCGCATTTAATAGATGCAAGATAATAATGACTATCAGGATGGTCCTGTATTTTAGTATGTGAAACTTCAGCTATCATGATCCATGCTGGATGATGATGTGCTTTTGCGGCAATGGAGTTGGATTGGTGAGGCAGCAGGTAATTTTTCAATGTTATTCTCGCTATATAAACATTGTAATTCTCTTCAAGATTTTTGCACAAATTTTTAATAATTCGCACTTTAACCACTTCTTTTCGTCATCTTTCATCAACCACTTCAAATTTGATTGAATAATAGATATGATCATGTAAATCCAGATGTTTAAAAAGAAGTGGAAGACAGCCAGGCTTATCATATATTACTATCTCCTTGTTCTCAATAAGTGTTTTTCTTTTTCTTTTCTTACACTTTGAGTATATTCAGCATTTCTTTTTAATTTAATGATTCTTTTTTTATTAGATTTGATTTCAGCTTAAAGACTTTCTATTTTTATATATGTATCATGCCAAAATTGAGAATCTATCATGATGTTGTATATCTGCTTAAATTTAGCAAAATTTTTTTCAACTGTTATTATCTCGCTTGCTATCCTTCTTTGTGCTGATGCATTGATAAAAATTTTGATACAGGATCGATTAAACGAATCATAGGAAGAGTAAGAAGAGGAGGAGTCAAAACTTCTCTAGGCACAGAAAACCTTGGTCTCATTATTTGTATATCAGATAAATTATATGGTGTAGCCAGATAATTTCTAATAATATCTTCAATTTTTGCTTTACTTTTATTTTTAATTTTATTCCATTCTTTGTTACTTTGTCATAAACATCAGCGTGATTGGAGTACTATTTCCAGTTTTAACCATAATACTATATACATAAGCATTAGAAAATTCTTGGTACTTATTTGTTGGTAAATTATATATCAGTTTCTTATTGAACTTGGAGCTAACAAAGAAAGTTTGGTTTATTTTTGTATTGAAAATAGAATTATTACGCGTTTATTTATAAAAAAGTTTTATAATCAAAATATGAAAGTTAAGCGTATCATAAAACTTTGTAGCAATTCAAATTTCTTTTTTTATAGCGAAATAATTTCCCTTCGCAGCAATTTGAGTTTCTTTTTTGTAATGAAAGAATGTGAAATAATTCCTTTCGCAGTAATGTGCAACAAGATATGATTCTATAAAGAGAAGATCAGCATCATATTTTCTTTGATTTTAAATCTTTTAAATATATTTTTTTTAATATAAAATAGACTATTATAATAAATTTTACTATTTTTTTATCATTTTTAAAATTTATCATTTTTTATTATAATATATTTGATATGATATTTTATAACTGATAAAACATACTGATATATGAGTTCTATAAAAGGAAATTGATCAACATTCACGTGATCAAAATATCTTACCTGGGGTGAGAAGGTTAAGGCTTATAATAAAGTGATATTAGGTAATATATGTCACTACCTTAAGTTGAATGATTTGAAACTAGAACAGGTATTTCATGATTCAGATGCAGTAGGAGGAGTGGTAGAAGAACTGGCCCAAATAAATACATTTGTAATAGATGATCCCAAAAAGATCAATTCTCTCAGACTTAAATTAAAATGGGTAAAAGAGGATCTAAATTCAAAAAATCATGAAATAGAATGTATAGAAAAAGGAATAGAAGTGACATATGAAATAATCAGTCAGGAAATAGATACTTTGTTCTCAGTATGATTAAATTTATTGGAGAAAAATAGGTCCCTTAGAGACCAGTTAGTGTCAAAGAAAGAGCCAAAAAACACTTCGTATAATGAAGTAGATCATCCACTCCCGCTTATGAATAATTCATAATGCACAGCATCTTCTAGCCAACCTTTCTCTCTTAATCCATCATCTCAAATAATTTTTGTAAGTGACGCAGAAGCAGTATCTTTACCAGCAACTGCTCTTATCATAACAAGCTCCTTGATATCGCTTATATTAATATATTCTATACTTACCCTAATACTTATTGCGATTATATAGCTCATAGCCAGGAAATATTAGAATTTGTGAAAAAAAAGTAACCAATTTTTTACCTATGGAAATTATATAAATAGGAGTTATGCAAAGCATCTCTTGGTCAGACCAAATTATTATTATTTTTAATTCTAATTGACTACTGTATAAGTACTGGCGCAAGTGAAACTTTTTCAAATTTTTTTTTTAATATAAGTTAGTACCTTTTTGATAAATCTTCAGGTAGATTAATTAAAATCTTTTCAGTTTGAGATATAAACTATCTTTTCTTATCTATATTCTTTTAATTCACCTTATAATAAAGAAAAAAATATTCTGAACTATAAAATACCCTTAAATAGAAATCAAGGTTATAGATTTCTGATCTATACAGAGAAAAATTAAAAGACAGAATTACCTCCTATGAAATTTTACCTTATGGATATGAATGAGATCACAAAACACAAATTATCCTAAATTTAATCATTTGCCAATCCTTTAAAGGTTTATCCTATCTAAATCTAATTGATAAAGAGTCATCAGATAGTCTTCAGATATCAATAATCATAAAGTATTTTTTTATTACCTCATAAATTTTTTTTGCTAGAGGCTCTTAATCATCATGTATATCTTTAAGAATTCACTTTATACTATCTAATGTTTCACATCCACAATGCAATGAAATATATTTAATATTTGCATATACTATATATTTAGATGGATCTCATAAAACATTAGGCTATATAAATTGAACTAATTCCATTATGTCTGCCTGATTTAAAGAAGGAAACAATTTTTAGCTGAGTTGTCAAAGATTTTCTGATAAGATCATCAAAGACTATAACAGTAAATTGACCAGTTCTTTTGAAAGATGAAATATCAGATAGTTTTTCAGGTGCGATCAGCTTGAATCTCACATTTTCATATCATGAAGCTTGCTTATTCATGGCTATAAATTCATAAAAATATTGTACTTAGAGTTCCAAACAAATCGAGTTAACTCATGAGTCAGATAAGTCGAGTCAAGTTTAAATTGAATCAAGTTTATGTTTTTTTGACTCAATGATTTGTGAATCAAGTTAAATTCAAGTTGAGTTAAATATTAACTTGACTCGATTTAAACTTAACTTGATTCGAGTTAACTCAAGTTGACTTGAGTTGACTTGAACGATGACAAATCGTTCAACTTAAACGATATTTTTTTATCGTTCAAGAAGAATGATGACAAATCATTCAACTTGAATGATATTTTTTTATCGTTTAAGAAGAACGATGATGAATCATTCAATTTGAACGATATTTTTTATCATTCAAGAAGAATGATGACAAATCATTCAACTTGAACAATAACCTGAATCGTTTGACTTGAATGATGACCTGAATCATTTAACTTGAACGATAAAAAAAATCGTTTAAGAAGAACAATAATGAATCATTCGCTTTTTTTCCCTCCCCCTGATATTTTTATTTTTTTTTTATTATTTTTTTCAAAATTGAATTGAGTTAAAATCAAGTCGAGTCAAATTGAATCGAGTTTAAAATTTATATAACTCGAATCAAATCAAATTAAAAGATTTTATAAAATAAATTTGACTTGACTCAACTCAAAAAAGAGAGTTGAATAGAGTTGATCTTTAAACTCAATTCGATTCAACTCATTCAGAACTCTAATTGTATTACTTCCTATAGCTCTTCATCTTGGTGTTATGCAACAACAATTAGATCATTACATAGAATATACCTTTCACCAAAATTTTTGCTTTTGCCTTTTGGTATTTTATAATCACATTTTTCACCAAACATCTATAGATATATTTTTGAATATTTACTTCCTAAGAGCAGATGTGCTACTATGCTCATCTTTTCAGACTCAGAGGTACTCGCAACTCTTAGTCTAAATAGAGGTTTAGGAGCAAATGGATTCTATTTTTTCAAAGGTATAGTTTCATTTAATTTGCATAGTTCGTAATACTCTATAGTATTTTAAAAAGTAGGATATTTAATAAGAAACATATTTTGTTAACTATAAGGAAAAAAGTATTCTGACTAATAAATAGAATCTGACTTCATAGATACCAGCTCTTTTTCTACGTCTTGCAGTTGTATCTTCAGATCCTCATTTTCACATTGCAATTTCTTATTCATATTAATCCACTCTCTATATTCTCTGTCTTGCATGAATTTTTCAAAAGTTCTTTTATTATAATCAAGCAGATGCTGGCAAAACACTTTAAGCTTATTCATAATCTGACGATTATTCTCTTCTTTATGATCATGCTTTAGCGCCTCTAGCCAAGTGATATTATCAGTTTGGGACTCATTATCTGTGACAAATATATATGCTATTTTTTTGAATGATAATGATGTTAGGCACTCTAGCCAACTTTGAGTTCATCTCTAACGCATTAGTCTCTTCTGATATTTAATAAATTTATATTTTAAAAATGACTTTACAATTGAATTAATATTGCTAGCTTCTTTCTGAGATAATGATTTGTGTTTCCGTGATGTGAGACAAATCCATATCTCATTTATTAGGGAAGCTGGTAATTTTGTTAGCAAGTTAGAATATGCCTGATTAAATATCATTATATATTTATATGTTGCACAAAAAATTGGAATTCCAAAAATTACTGTATTATTATCACATTGAATGTTTTATTTTACAGTAGATTACAGTATTATTATTCTGATACATCTAGAAAATCTATTAGAATATTAGCTTCAATCAAGAAAAAAAAATCATATATACAATCACCACACTAATTACTTCTGATGCGCCATCACAAAAATAGATCATCTTTCTTGTATATTATGCATTTTTTTATTAATAATACATTAAACTTTTGCTACAAATTATTTTTACTATTGATTTTAACATTAAATACCAAAGAACAGTGCAAAAAAATAATCATTATTTTCTTATCATAAGGGTTGAAGTATTAATTATTATTTGGTTTTTCCTTTTTCTTTGTTTTATTTCTTTTTACTGTATTCTTGACCGGTAATTTCTTGACTGGTGAATTATTCACAGCCAATTCACCAATAGTTTTGTAATATCCAAAAAATTTAGGTTTGTCTTTCAGAAGTGAATTAATATGATTTTTAAGGTTTATAACGTGATACTATACAAAAATATTAGTTAGAAGTAGTGATTTTATATATATTCTATAATAAAAAAATACCTTAAATTCTAGCATCACGTTAATTATGATCGAAAGCTCATTTAATTGATTGGCAGTGTTAGGAATAGTAAAACCATTAACTTGATCAACTAGATAAAGACCATTTACCCAATGAGTAGAATATATGAAGAAGTCTCTCTCTAAGTAAAAGGTGATATAATGAGAAACAAAAGCATAATATCGTATAGTCCTGAAAATAAGCATCACGTGATATATATGAATTTATCAGTATATATGTGATTAATAATATAATAAATTCCATGTGACAAATAAATAAATTACTATAAAAGGAACATGTCACAGGGTGCTTATTTTTAGGACTATACAGTAATAAGAAAAATTTTTTTAAAATACGTATCAAAATACATACTGTATACAAGTATACCAAACGTTTCTAGTTTTTTAAGATCTTCCTGTTGAATTTGTCTTTCCAACAATAATTTTCACAAATTGTAAAGGAATAGTTACATCGCTAATTAAAAAAACCTTTCAACACAAATGTTACTAGTAAAATCAAAAATATAGCTTTTAATTTACCTTTAAGCAACTTTTCCCAGTTTTCATTCATCTTAGAATCATCATGTTTATATGGATTACCAACAACCTCATCAAAACCAATTTGAATTTCTTTACTCAAAAATTTTATCATTAAGATTGCATCATGGAATCATCCAATTGCTCTTTGTTGTCCTGTTGGTCTTAAACAATCTTTCTGATTTTTTCGATCATTATTTTCTATTTTGCCTCTGCTTACCAAATGTAATAAATGCATTAGTATATTATAAAACTCTTTAAAATACGCACAAAAGAAAAAGGTACTTACATTTACATATAAATCGTAGGACTAAGATCTAAAAATACATCTTCCTATAACTTATTAATTATACGATCACGGTAGGCATATTTGGACAAACATGCATTATGAAAAAAATCTATTGGCATCTGAAAACATATGATGCTTCCATAAATTTATGAAAATTAGCATAATAATTACAAAATGAATAACTTATCAGTATAATTTCCTTACAATGAAGTAAACACTAGCTGGACCCAATGAAGAGGCCAGTTTTTTTGAAATATATATTCTGTTCTTTCTTTTGCAAACAGATTTTCGTTTATTACTAATGATATTTTACTAATATCTGATTTGAATTCAATTGTATGTTTTTCGATGGCTTTGTCATATTTAGTTAAGAGATTCTTTATATTTTCTGGTATTACTACTGAAAAAGAGCTAGTTATTTTTGCTTTTACCTAAAGAAAAATTATTGTAAATATCATCATTTTCTTGGTTGTATTGCTAATAAAAAAAAATACGAACTATTTGCCAGTTATGTTCAAATGTTACCTATTCCTGACTTGTCAAAATAATCTTTACAGGATCTTGTTTATTATCTTTGGGTAAAAAAATTATTTTATATCTTGCGATACCTTTACTATATTTCAGAAGTTTTTCAACAATTGGATTTATGACTTTCTATGGTGTTGAAAGATAAATTGATGAACATAAAATTATGCAAAAAATAGGAAATACAAGAATGATAAAACAAACCTTTACAGTAATAAGTTCTTTTAAGAACTTGTCTTCATCAAATTCGCCATCTTCTTCAGGTTGTAGATCAGAAGATTTATTGGGTTCCTCATCTAAAAGTTCGCTATCATCATTAGATACTGTGTGCTTGCTAGAAATATGAGACCTTTCTTGATCATTTAACTAATAGATATGTATTATTGTGTATATCAAAAAAGGTTATCAAAGACATAGTTGTGAACTAAAGCATAATTACTTCTTAGTTTCAGGGAGGAGGGGTATGTGATTATTGATCCTAAACAGCGAAATAATCATTAATAAATTTGGTCTATTTTGCAGAAGGATCTCGCTTGGTCTGGTATAATAAAGTTGTATTTCGTTAGGATCGAATCATAAAAATAATAAGGTCTAGTAAAAAAACGTGAACTTGTAGATCAGGAAAGTCTCTTTTTAAGGATTCTGCAATGAACCTATTTATAGTGTTGACTATTCCGTTGTTTATAGTCATCCTATTGACAGTTCTACTGATATAAATACAACTATGAGAATGTCGACTCTTCTACTTTCTAGTCAGTTCGTGATCTAGATTCTTATTCTAAAATGAAAAGATTTACTTTCTTGTTTTTAACACATATGGGTCTCCTTTTTTAAAATAATACTTTATTTATACACTCAACCACTGATTCAGCTCAAAACTTTTTACAACAAAATAACCTCAAAGGTCATTTTACACTCGATGGGGCCAGTATCAAGTCAGTTCGAAGCCCTGAATGACAGGCAACCTTGAAGGTCACAAGCGCTCCAAACACTGCCTGAATGTCAGACAACCTCAAAGGTTACCTGTGCTCTTACATTTCTGCACCTTTAACAAAAAGCTTTTACTCACCATCTTATATTTGTCGAGCAATGACTGTGCTGTTTCCCCTTTACAGTTTTCTCATTATTAGCAATGAATTTGAGACCTCTAGTATAACATTTTATCTTTCGCTCGAACAGTTCAAGCTCACACTCGTTCAGAAAATCTATCATATTCCAGACAGAAGCTTTACGATCAAAGTATTTATATACATTTTCTGAAGTCATTGATTAATGTGTTTGAGAGATATTAGTCGAAAAATGAAGAACAGACACATATGAGCGAAGTTCTACAAACTGAATGCGTTATAATAAAGTGTTTTGATTTTTTATTGTCAGGTATACGATACTGCACCAAATTCCTGCCCATTCGTGATCAGATAATTCATTATTTATTGTCAATACCATTTTTCAAGTTTGGTGATTTGTGATTTTGCTAAAGCTAGAGATGAATATTTGCATAAAAATATAAACATCCTGCAAAGATTATATATATTATGACATTCCCTAAAAAAATGTCTTAGAGTATCTCTAATGTTAGGATACCTTGAGTTAGCATCTCATAGATTATAATTATGATGTTGAAGAGCATGATCAAAAACATATCAGAGTTTGAAAGCATTTTGCAGAGATAGATTAAGAAATTGGTTTGAGTGAGATTGTTAAAGTTTTTGATAGTATGCGCAGAATTTTATATTTTGATTGTTAATGCGTGATAGCTATTTGGTTTGATTTTTTTCTTACTAGAAACTGTTCTCCTCCAATACACCCAGTTTTTATAATTAAGACCCTTTCGCAGTTAAGAGTTACGATTGTCACAAAACATGAAAGTCTCTGGATCTTTGCTGGAAAAAAAAACTATTTTGATTATAACAGCTACTCAATGGTTTAGTATTCTTAACTTTTTTATCAACAACATTATTAAAGTATATATTATAATGAATATAAATGTAAAGATATAATAACTTATTAAAAAGAATTTCTTAAAACAATTTCTTATTATGAAACCTATATAGTAAATATAATGAAAATGATATAAAATATATTTCTTATAAATTAAAAGATGGTGAAAAAAAACATCTCTTAATTATTTATGATAAATATATTTTTTATACTAATAATAGCAAAAAAGAAGTTTGAGTTCCAAATAATGAATTTCTATTATAAAAAAAAAAGGAATAAAAGGTCAATTATAATTAGTAAATTTTTTTTTAAAACTTATAGATGTTTATTTTTAAGTATTAAAATATCTAACTGTACTAAATAAAATGCAGCTTTATTTAACGTTTGATAAAAATCAAAAGGGTTATTAAACTATTTAATATTTATTTAAACAATAGAATACAAAGTAATATTAATCTTTGATGCTTTATTTTCTAATTGTATAGCAGTTTTTGCTTTGATAATAATTTAAATCATTTAGAACAGTATATAAAATTCATGTATACAATGTATACATATGCATATTAAATTTTTATGTGCACATTTTTTTTTTTTTTTTTTTTTTAAAGTGCGGTAATTTCGCAATATCTTTATTATGAAAGTAAAATAAAATAAAGTACAAATCAAAAGAAATTACAAAAATCTCGTAAAGAACTAATCTAAAATTAAAACTATAGAAGACCGACCCTACACTTCCCCAAAATCATTTTATAACCTAAGCTAGAAAAATCACATTTTGAGTAAACATACGTAAGAAAGTGGAGAAGGCGAGGCCACTACTGCACCAAAAATTTGACCAATGAGATCCCATCCATACCATTGAAGATATTGGAGGAGAGCTAAAAGAATTAGCAGAGAGGTTAGAGGATAGATCATAATCTGATGTGACAAAATTGGCAGTCTTGAAATCAAGGGTAATGTTGAAAGATTTTTCAAAATCATGCACAAGTTAATAACGGTCGCGCCAAACGTTTTGTGTGAGTTCAAAGATTAGATGCATGAAAGAAGAACAGGCAGCTAAAGCCAAACTTTAGAATGAAAATTTCTTTAGAAAGAATTTAAAGAGGGATACTGGAACTATGCCTCTAATGAGGGCAAAAAATTCAGAAGTATTATAAGTATCAAGCAACCATACGTTTAACTGCTCAATTTCATAATCATGTATATAGGTTATATCTTTTAAAAAAGTTTTTACTTATTGAATTATCTTTTTCATTTCGTAATTGACAGTAGAACACATCTATATGTGATAAAAGTTTTCGTCAGCAGCGTCGCATCTGAGGCACAAGAGCAAATAGTCATATATGAAAGGATGTCTTAATTTGAAAATTTCTAAAGTTGGTAACATTTCAAAAAGATGTTGATATTTTGTTCTTATAATGAAGGAGGCGGAGTAAGAGGTAGATTGTATTGCTGTATTGTTATTGAGTATGAAGGAGGTGGTAAACCAGTTAATTTGATAAAGCAGAGAATGTTTTGCAAGGACAGGGAGTTGAAGTAATCGGGAAAGAGAACGTTCACAGAATAATTCTTTGCAAAATTGTCTGATAGGTATTAGCACTGGAGCATTATTATGTGTGAAATAACATTAAGATGTGTTAGTTATATATAGTTGAAGGGCTGTGGTGTCTAAATTGGATTTTGCCAGAGTGTCAACTTTGTTGTTGAAAATGTTGTCAGTGTGAGCTTTGACTTTAATCATTTTAACTGTGAGGTTGTGAGTATCCATTATATCAAAAAAAACAGGACCAGTGTACATAATTATTGATTTTGAGAGCAGGACGAACGGTAGAAGCTTTTGTGAGAAGGAACTTATATCTGTTAAACTGGGAGATGATGACTGCTGAATTAGTATAAAAGGTAACGTTATAGGATAGTAGGGCTGTAAGTAAGGCAGTAAAAATAGCTGTGAATTCAGGTAATGACGAGGAAGAAAAAGAAGATGTAAAAGCTGAAGAAAAGGAAATCATTGGTAAACTTTAGTGAGTCTAAAGCCAGGCAATACCCATTTTTATCATGGGAAGACCTAAGTCTTTCAGAGATCCATCTGTGTAGAATTCAAAAACAGAAGAAAAAGAAAAGGAGTGAGAAATGGTTAGTAACTGTGAATTGAAGGGAGATGATAAATATTTGTCAAATAGATTATTAAAGGAGGGTGCAGCAAAACTTCTTGGAGCTACAAATAGACTTTGGTTGTTATTTTTTAGGAAACATGTTAAGGCAAGTTCATAAAGTGCACCGTTGGAAAGAACACTGTGAAGTCGATTGATACAGTTAATATTTTTTGCCGTAGGAATTTTTGCACAAAAGGAGATAGGTAACATGAAACAATAACTGTTATAAGGCCCTCTGAATTTAATGGCTGTAGTCTAATGAAAGCGGCAATGGACACAAGGCTTGAGGATTGTCATATTTTCAGGACCAATTGAAGGTATGTGGTGTCTTAGATGTATGGTGTCATGATCAATTTTTATAATTCTTCTTATGATGAAATAATTGGCCGCAGTGTGTCAACCAACTGCAAATTTGGGTGTTTGATATGAGTAGGTAGGAGGAGTAATAGAGTAGCCATAGCAAGACTTATGTTTAAAATTAAATACAGGTGAAAGTAGTCTGTCTTAATCAGGATTTAAACGCAATTCTAAGGCTTTAAACCATTTAGCAGTTTGAAAACTATGGGTAATAGGATTGGTAATGGTATTCAGATCACGAAATATAAACATATAGTTTCCTTGGTAGTTGGTGAGTTGCTCCATGTAAAGTATAGAAAACTTTCTTAGCCTATGAGCATGCTTTCTGTAATCATAATTGTATAATTCTGAAACAGGAAAAATTCTTTTTAGAATTCTATTGGATAGAGTTGCAGGTATGTTAAGTTCTAGTTTCATAAGTTTGAGGTTACATAGAAGAGAAGGGAGCCAATCATCAGATCGTGTTGTTTGTGAATGGCCAATAGATCAGAGGGTTCTTACAGAGCCATTCTTTTTGTTGAAGTTGAAGGGTACGTAAATGAAAGGATTTTCCTAGTATGTTTGATTCATTAGACATCTGTAGCATAGCATTACTGAAATTCTGTATTAATCTCTGATACAGGGAAGTCAGATTGTAGAAGTAATGTGAATGGAATAGATCCGTTGGGGAATGTCTGGAGAGCTTAAGTTTTCTTTTGACAAAGGCGATGTATGTAGCGACAAAGCTTTTGCATTGTGTTTCAAATGGTAATGTGAGTTGTGATCTGTACTCAATTCTGGGGAGAAGAACAGTATTAAAGATATATATTAGTTGCGAATCTGTCAGGCGTTTATGCTTCATAATGGTGACAGCTTTTTTGATTTCGCTGTGTATTTGATTGTGAATGAAACGCTTGTTGGACTTGAGTGAAATCCAAACACCCAAGTAACGAACACTAGCTTTAGGGAATAGCACATTAATCGTCCATATAGTGTTGTTATGAATGATTTTGAAAGGTCTTTGTTGGGAAGTGTTGACTAGCAGTTCTGATTTTGACTAATTCACTTGTATACAGTCAGAACTCAATATAACAATTCGTGATAAACCGATTTTGACCTATAACGAACTTTTTCCTTAAACCAAAACCATTTATAATAAAATTTATCACTATATACCGATTTTATTATAAATTTCGCGATATTGCATATACTGAATTCTAGTTGTAAACCAGTTATAATTATTTATTCGCGATAAGCCGAT